CTGGTTACGGTGCCGCGTGCCAATGCTGGCACGCGTGCCAGGGGTTGCCGACCCCTGATCTACAGAATAAAAGATAGAATGAAGTGAATGATGAATAAACAGTGAGGAGGGGTATGAATAAACTAGATATACACATTAGCCTGTGAACAGTGTGTATGAATATGCTAAGATATATAAAGTATGAAAACGGTAAGCAGTGCAAGTATAGTATAAAATATATAGATATTAATTTCATGATGATAAATATTGTGGAACAATGATGAAAAATGTGAATGGAAGTGGCGACGTAAAACTGACACCAAACAACAACAAACTTTTGCCAAGCCAGCAGCACGGGGTAAAAACCACCAATGAGCGCTCAGCTCGAGATACCAGCGAGTCGTTTCCCATCAAGCATTTCGCTTCCGCAGCCTGTGGAGAGGAACTGCGCCGCCTCGGTCTCAAGGCTGCGGGCGTCTTTGTCCGGCGAGATTTCAACGTCTCATGTGAGCGAGCCTCCAGAGCAAGTCGGACAAAAATGACTAACCATCATGCAACGCACTAGCAAGACGTTGATCGCAACTGCGCAGGTCTGCGCAGGTCTCGCTTGGCTCAAACAAGCCTATGACTCGCCAGCAACAGGCGGCCAATTTCACCAAGGAAGGGGCGGATTCCTTTTGGCTGTGTACTTTCACATTTTAGTGCACTCGAGCCGGTTTCTGAAACTTACCTACCCCACCTTTAACACCTGTTAAGTTGATGTCATGTTTATTTTCTGTTGACCTGTATTATAGGCCTAGTTATTAGAGATTCTTGGTTTATAACGTTTTCTTTGGGTTTTATTTTGGATAAATAAAAACCCAGTTTATTTAAACAACTCCTCTGTCCTGTTTCCGGCTTACTGCTTGTCCCTGACAGACCCCTTGGCTCAAGAAGTCATTCTCAGTTACTGCTATAGGTAATGTAGTGAGCCAGACTATTTATATTATCGCAACAGACTGTTATAAAGTCTCTGTTAACACTCCAGTGTATCTGTATGGCAGCATATCTTTTAGTGTGTGGCTCTTCGCTGCTCCTCACGTCTATCTTTAGGTGATGGTGGGTGTGAAAAGTGGTGCAGTGGTGTGTTTCCCTTCCAGCTTTTGGCTTCACTCCCCTCTTGTCTCCTGTCATGCGAGTGCAGCACTGAGTGGGGAAACACTCTGCTGACCTGCTTCCTGTACAGCTGGCTGGCTGGTGTCTAAACAGCTCGTCACACTCTGTTGTGACACTTTTAAAACCTTGTGTCTCCCACATACACACACTTAGTCAACCAATCACCTGGACAAGACTGATAAACCCAACACTGACCCAGATATCCCATCATAGCAACGGTCACAAAGCTTCTCAAAATCACACCATCAGTCATCTCATGATGTTAAAATGCTCAATCTAGACCCTGCAGCCTGAGTGCTGGATTTCCATTTTCTGAACATGTTCCATGCAACCACGCTGGGTTAGATCATGAATTTAAATGACACAATGATGGTGACAAGATTTGTGAACTGATTAAATTACATTCAGTATTTTTTGTGCATGTGTTAAAAGGATAATTAAATGACTTTGTAGAAAAATAGACTGACTATGCACGTGTGCTGCAGTAATTGTACATTTTGGGAAATCATTTTAAAGTAATGGTTGGAATAAAACATATGTTCAAAGCACCAAATCTTAAAGACCCTCATTTTAATCCGTCCATAGCAATATAACTGTTACATGCTTTGCTTCAAATGTGCAGCTATTTTGATTTTTATTGTGCTTTTTTTTTTTATTTGACAGATGATCTTATTGTTTCTCACAACTCTTAATTGGCTTTGGTTGGATGTTTATCTTGGCTGTCATCTCCATTCCCCGAGAAAATTGATGCACACCAGTTATTTTCTAATCAGCCTCCTCGCAGCACACTCCCACTGGGAGAAAGTGCATTACGTACTAACTTTTGTTTCCTTTTATCTTTCCACTCCAGCAAGTGGTTTCAGCAGTCCGGGCAGGTGTGAACCCCACAGGAAATGCCTTTAATCAGACGAGCCTCTGGGACATCAGTTCTTCCTTTTTCTTTGCTGGGACTGTTATCACCACTATCGGTAAGAGAAGTAGTTTTTTACTCTTTGACAACTAATTTCCTTTTTTTAAGGCTTTTGAAAATACATTACACTTTTTGCATGCAATGCTTTTCCAATGCATATAAATGTTAAGATGTTTGCTTTTTAGGCATCGTCAATGTATCATTACCTCCTGCACAAAGCCTTCAGAGGCATAAAGAAATGTTGATGACCATTTTAGCTTGAAACTACATACAAACGCAAAATAACACTTGCTAACCAAAAAACTGCATCAGCTCCTTTACCAGATGGTGGCCTGGGTGTAAGAAATGTGGAATCTGTGTATACACTTGGATAATTCTCAATAATAAATCAATTCAGGCCTCATTCACAACTCTCCAACTTTATTTCAGAACAAAATGTTAGTGCCTGTCTGTTGGTGAAAATGTGGGCTTTCAGTTGACTGGTTTTAGAAGGAGAACTTTAGCCTTAAAAGCTAAAGTTTATCGGAGACTACAGAGGAATACACTTTTGTTGTGCCTGTGCTCATTTGCAATTGGTTACTGTACTGTAAAATGTAGGAGCTGTCAACTGTAGCAGCCTGTAGCACGTACTCTGTCACCTCCAGCTGTAAGAGCTTACTAATCAGGAACACACACACACACACACACACACACACACACACACACACACACACACACACACACACACACACACACACACACACACACACACACACACACACACACTTAGCCTGACAGCTCACCTGGTTCTTCCTAGCAGACCTTGACAGATCAGTGCATCTGTTCAGTGGGGTGTTGAACTCCATTTCTGTTAGAGCTCATCCTTGAGTTGGAATACATGTTTTTGCTTGTTTTTTCTGATTATTGGCCTTCAAGTGCCTGCAAAGTGCAAACCTTAATTAATATTTTGGCATTAAATTGGAATTTCTTAACTTGAATGTGGCACCTTAGGCACCAGCCTTACGCTTGTACCTCTGCACACCGAAGTTGCAAAATAGTTTTGGCCATGTACAGTTACATCACACAGACACACACAGACACTCATACACACACACACACACACACACACACACACACACACACACACACACACACACACACACACACACACACACACACACACACACACACACACACACAGTGTTATCTGGCTCATTGAAGCAGAACCTAACATATGAGAGTGTCTGTTTGATGGGCTCTTGAGTCTCCAGGATGCTGTCAAAGCTCATACTTCAGTCAGAAAAAGGAACAAGCGTTGCAATAACTTGATTCTGCCCACTACTTGGAAAAGATAAGCGCTCAAGTGTGGGATTAAAGGTGTAAAGTTAAAGCTTCACTAAGTGTTCTTTTATTCTGAGAATGTCGACTTTCAGTTTTTTCACTGAGGCGCTGCAGTGATTTTAGTCGATTTTGCTCTATGCTAAAGACAGATTTACTGATGTTTGAATTGAAGATTGAAGTGCTGTTTTCTCATGAAATGGGCATTTCACGGTAGTGTGATTGCTGCAGAAGAGAAAAAGGAGAGCTTGGTAGCTTTATATTTGTGTTAAAAGCATAATTTGTTATGTTTTTTTTTATTCAAACATCTGGAAAAGGTTGCAAGATGAAGGTACATAAGAGACTACCTTTTTTTGCTGGTGCTTGGTGGGCATCTCCTATGATGTGTGTAGGTGTAAACAGCCATAACTGCTGTGCTCACTGTTCAGCATCATTTAGCTTAATTGGTACAAAATGTTCTGCGGTCGTAGCTGCACATAGAAGCTTTTTAATGGCTTTGTCAATAACCGGCCTATTCAGAAGAAATCTAGTAAAGTGCAGAAAGGGAAAACATATTAGAGTTTGCATCCCCTCTCAGCTTTCTTTTACTCTTCTGACTTTGGGTGGATGAGCAATCATTTATATCCACATGGCATAGGCAAACTCTCCTGAGAATGAAAGAGGTGTAGCCACGATTGATCTCACAGCATTTCTTCCCCATGGGATGCCTTCTCTTCGACTATATTATTCTTGCTGAAATTCATATTTTCTATAGTGCATGGATCAACCTCCACATGAAGGAAAAATGCATAAATATTCTTTTTGAAAAACATTCCCCCGCTGTTCTTTTTCGTATATGGCTTCGCCCTCTAAGGCTATCGCTATTGGGTAATTCCCCTGCGCACCCGCGCAGCACTGAAACACTTGTAGTCCACGCCCACCCGCAAGGTGGGCCCCGCCCTCGGGCCTCCTTCCGGTATAAATAGGAAGGAGGCCCGGCAATCTGCTCCCTCTTTTCTTCAGCAAACCTCGGCAGTTACTGAAGCACAGAACCATTAAACATCATGAGCAACAACTGCGTCCGAAATTGTCCCTCATGTGGCTCAGGATATATCATGAGCTATGACCAGCACGCAATGTGCGAATCCTGCCTGGGGCCAGAGCACGCGGACGCGGCTCTCAGCCAGCAGGTCGCTTGCTCACATTGTGCCCGTCTCCCATCAGCCGACAGGAAGCGAAGAGCGGATGCTCTAGCTGCTGCGGCCGACGAGGACGATTGGCCCGTCCAGAGCACGTGGACGGCAGCATGTCCCTGGAGCCGAGTGCCGGGCAGGAGTCGGACGACTCCTACCCCGTCTCCCTCCATGGTTCACCGTGCGGTTCTCCCCTCCCTCCTCTCCCCCGGACGGGGGAGACAGAGTCGGAGCAGGGGGCTGGTTTGGCGGCCGAGCATGCGGTCCCCTTCTCCGTCGCCACAGGACGGCGCCCTACGTTGAGCTCCCCCAGAGAGTATGTCGCCCGCCAGGCCGACCCGGGTGCACCAGTGTGCCTTTCAGGCGGCGGCGAATATCATCGCGCTGCTCTCCAACTCGGTGGTGACACTGGTAGAGCGGTCCACCACCGAGGCAGAGGAAATCAGCAAGGCGGCCAGCACGGCGCTCACTCTGTGCGCGTCCATCGCTGTCTCCCAGGCGAGGATTTCCGCGTGGGTGACACAGATCCAGCGCCACCTGCAGCAGGCGTCTGTTACGGAGACGGCCAGAAAAGTGCTACTGGACGCTCCAATCAGCCCGTACGGGCTGTTAGGACCCCAGTTCCACGCCATGGTGGAGTCCATGAAGACGGCCGCGGAACAGGCGGACGGCATTCGCCAGCATGTCAGCTGGCTCCAGCCTGCTGAGCGCCCACAGCGGCACCAACGCCCGCAGCAGCCGCGGCGTCCACGCCGGCCACAGGAGGCCGCAAGCGGAGAGACGCCCACAGCAACCGCCTCGGCGTCAGACTCGCCCTTCGGCAGCTGCAGGGGCTCCGTCCCACGTCCGCTCCCCCGCCACCCCAGAGACAGGGTCTCCCGGCGGCGAGTCAAAGGGGAGTGAGGCTCCCCCGCTCCTGGTCTGCTCCGCGAGAGCCTCCGAGGATGCAGAGCCGGTAATTAAGCCGGCTGCCACTAATCTGTTGATTAAGTAGACAACAGGGCTCGCTGCAGAAGCCTGGTTTTAACCTGTTGGTTAATAAACTACAGAGCTCGCGGCATTCCTCCGTCCGAGATACGCCTCCTACACACGGTCATAATAACCCATGAGCGCCGTTTATAACGCCTCATGTGGGCAGCACTGCACACACCTCCATCCATCCCCTGAGCGTGTACGCGCCTCATGATGAGATTCGGAGTGAGACGCAGCGTGTGG